ATTGCAGCTTAGATGACAATGTTGACTGTAGCCAAAGTGGCAGGTGGACCAAAGGAGCCAAAGCCAAAAAGTGTCCTCGCAGACGATGCACGTTTTTGACGGCTTTATTGTTTAGCAGCCAGAATTTTCCAGAGGAAAATGAGCAGAAAGTGCTCGAAAGTCGCCAAGTTGTTGATTCGTCTGGGGAAAACGGGGAGTTGGAGGTGGAGGTGGGCTGAACTTGAATGACTTTTCATAACTTTATAAAACTTTACACAATGCACGAGAGCCAACGACGAAGGAGAAGACGACAATGAAGAAGAAGCCGCCTGACAATGGCCAAATGAGTGGCTGAAAAATGGGTGGAAAACTGGGGGGTTTTCCTCCCTGGTCCTTTTCTTGCTTTGGCACGTTTCCGCTTCCGTTTAGTCTGCTCTGCTTCGCTTACACTTGAGCATAATGAATATTTTCCCAAATTGAAATGTTGTTTGTCCTTGCCGAAGGGAAGGCTCTCCATCGCTGACCCCACTGTACAAACCCCCCACTTTCTTCGAGTCACTTTCACTTTACGACTGCCTGGGCAAAGCTGCATAAATATGAAAAATGTAAAATTTAATATGCAATTTACGTCACTCGAAAGTTGCTTCCCTCATGGTCCCAGCATTTTGGGTCCTTTCAATTTGCATATTTCCCTAGCTCCACCCTCCTTTGTTGTTCTTCTTAATGTTTTACACTTTTGTTTAGTGGACTTTCTTACTTTTTGGGGTTTTTTTTATATTGTCTTGGGAAATTTAGAGCGAGAGCCTGTGGCGAATGTGCTATAAATATGTGTGCCGAATATTCAAACTGGCGGCTTTGGGGCCACAAATGCGGGGGAGTTGCATAATTGCCAAATCGCAGATTTCAATTGACGTCCATTTCAATGCCAGATTGAAATGCGGGAACCTCGAAATCGTTTCACGGCTTTTGGCCACAGCACTCAACCCAGTCACTCACTCACACTCACCCATTCATTCGTTCATTCATTCGGCCAATGATGGACAGACAGTTGTATGCTAAATATGATTGATATCCACACAAAAAGTGAGATATCTCTCGAGATCAGGTCATGATTTCCATGCCCAGAGATCGAGAAATCGAGAGAGCTGCAAAAAGCTAAAAAAAATGAACAATCATCTCAGTCCCACCATCATCGATTCGTTTGGCCTGCTTGCAAGATGACAAAACAAACATTAATGAGGACGCATTCATGATCCAGCCACAAGATACTTTTCCCCCTGTAACTCACACATTTCACCGCTGCGTATTTGACTTTGACTAATTTCAACAGCTTAATTAAGTTAATTGCATCTCTTTGACAAAAACCTCAAATTAGTTTGGTCAATTGCGGTAGAAAGTTGGGGATAAGTTCTGTGGGAAGACTCAGATACCCTCGATATAAGATTGTAATAAACTTGACAAATAACTCACTAAAATGCTCTCCTGCTAAAGGATTCTGAGAAAAATGCATAGTTTTAAAATTGAACCGCAATTACAGGCGAACGGATTGTTGGTTTGTTATTAAGTCGAAACAGTTCATAAGTCAAACTCTTTATCTTTCGAATCGCAAACTCAAAATCATGTTAAGATTTTTTTCAGCCAAGTTATTAACGAAAGATTAAATATCTATGTCTTTACAGCTGCCGTCAAAATAATAGTAGTACTGGTTGTTGTAATTTATCAATAATCAAAATAAACAAACATCTTCAAATAGTGAATACCCCTTGAGAAGGGTACAATATGCTGTGGATTAGACGATGACAGCAGTGAGCAAGAGGCAAATAAATTAATTATGTTAATCTGTTTACATGTCAGCCGCATTAGAGCCTTTTCTCAACGGCGCTTTTTCGGGGATGTCTCGAGTGAAAATGAAAATGTTTGCGTGTGCGTTGTGTTGTTTTAGTTAATAAAGCAAACACCTGTCGCACTTGAAGCCGTTTCTGTCCCATCTCCGGTCTCCTGTGGACACGCATACGCATCGTTGACAGTGTCAAACTTAAAACGCTCAAATTGCACAAAACTTTTGACAATAATCAAGCCCATGATGATGACGACGATGATGCTGATGGCCATGATGGCCATGTTGGCGGGTCGAGCGATACTCGTTGAATATATATAGACGGTCCTAGACATCATCAATTCTCGGAGTCAGAGGGCAGAGTTGGGGATAAAGAACACAAAACACTTGGGTAGCAGAACAGAAAGTTTCTGCGGTTTAGCAAGAAGAAACAGTGGGTCGAAATTTAACTAAATGTGGAGAACTAAAGAATTCTTATGGAAATGTTTCAAATAAATATTGGAATAGGTTAAATTTATTTTTTATTTTCTATAATTATATTAATTGTAAAGACTTTGTAAAAGTTTAAATGCCATTTGTTTGTGTTTATAAACATCTAACAAAATGTAGAAGAAAATTTTCAAATCGGACTATTCGCTAAAAAGTTATAAGCAAATAAAGCAAAAACTAATGCAAGCAGTGCAAGCAGTCCTTTTACAGCTTGCATTACTTAATTTCCCTCGCATTCCCTTTTGCTTTAGTAAGCTTTTAGTTGGTGCCACAGTCCATTGTAACGGATGTTGATGAGGCATCGTGCACTTTAGGCAAATTAGTTACGCAGCTCATGTTCGTGTGGGTCCTTATGGTCTCACCCTCGCAAGAACCGAAACCAACCCACCCATCGCCCATCCACCGACTGTATGTGTTGGCAAACAAATTTAATAAATAGCTAAACATACAAAAGTCACAACCCTTTGTACCAGCAGAATAAAAGGGGGAATGTGGGGTTTCAAATGGATGAAGGGAATGGGAATGAAATGAAATGGTTCTTCCGCCTGTCAACAGGCAACAGAGCCATGGAAAAAGCCATTGGCTCGCAACCCTCTCCCCAAAATAAGGTCCTTCGCCCACTTGCCAAGCCAAAGCAGCCAAACAGCCAACAAACCACCCAACCCAGTTAGACATATTCATATTTACTCAAGTTTATGGTGCCTTGTATTTGTCTTTGGTTTTTGTCATCGCCGACATTGCCAACTGCCACATAAAATATAACACTTCATTTACAGACCCTCGTTTTGTCCCCTTTCTTTTCTTCTCTGTTTTTTTTGCTCCATCTCAAGTGGAATTCTTTCAACGCCTACCACTAAGAAGGTCGACCAATGGGTGGGTTTTTCCATGGGTCTCGAGTCTCGAAACTGTGGTTTCGCTCATAATTTATATGCTAAACATATTGCGCTTACATGGATTACCCAAAAATATCGATATACATGCTTACATTTTCATGTTACACATTTTGTGGGCCCAAGTTAGTTGGCTTTTGGGCTTTTGGGCCGGTTACAACTTAAACTGTCAGCAGCAGTCGACTTTTTGGCCAGAGAAGGCTAATGAAAAGGTTAAGACAGAGGTTTTCATGGTGTCAACCGGAGTGGTGACCCCGACCGGCACCCTCGTCAAGTTGTCGCCACGTATTGAAATGCAAAATATCTTCAATTTAATCGCAATTAACCGTTTAAGAATAGTGCGAAATAAATGGGTTGAAATTTATTTATTTACGGAATTTTGAAAATCTTTAATGAGACTATCTGAAATTTTGATTCTACATTTTTAAAATTCGAAAATATTTTGCAGATGCTTAAATAAAATAAATTAAATTAATATTTCAAATATTTATTCAGACAGAATAATAATTTGATATGAAATGGTGTCAATTCTACCTTATTTTATATCAATAAAAAGCCGATATGAATTATGTCAAATTTATGATTCAAACATATCAACGTGATGTTTTATCATATCATATAAAATACCAAATTCAGTATTTTTTGAACAAAATATGTATATCGATCTGACCTTTCATTAATTTTTTCTGTGTATATATTTAAATGCTATCATTAGGGATTTTGAATCGCAGTGATTAATAACCGAAAATTCAACCCCTTGAAGAGGGCTTTCATATCAGGCATTTGCCTTTTGTTTAGCTTATCCGGTGGTGACCCCAAGACCAAGTGATCCTCCAGTTCAACTGGTGACCGTGACGGTGATGATGATTCAGCTGTCACACCCACCAGCCGGTTAAACTGACCTGGCTTAACCCATTACGGAGCTCTTTCCGATGCCACCGAAGCATGCCGCCGATTCCCATGAAGCGCTCAGCGGAGCATGAACCGTTCACAGCCCATTGCCAACATGGCTATGGCCATTGCTAACCCTTCCCAAGGGACCCCGAGAGTCCAGAGCCAAGATCCAAGACCCAAGGCCTTCAGCTAGCCGGGTTCCGAGAAAACACAACTCCCTTCCTTATGGCCAAGAACAACAAACAGCGAAAGGCACGGATGCCACTTTAAATATTGTTTTGACCCAAAATGCGTTGGTACTCCACCACCACTTTCGCTTAAATGGGCCAAAAGATCTCAGGCTTTTCCTTCTTTATTCATTCCCCTTAATTGCGAACTTATTTTTAGCCAACTCAAATGCAAAAGTGCAATAGAAACATTATTCGGAACTTTGGTCCCTGTTGATGTTTCTTTTAACTTTCTATTCAACTATTTATCTGAATCTCCGGTTTTTTAAAAATTATTGCAAATCGAGTGGGAATATTCAATTGTGAAATATTTATAAACAAATTCACAAATAACTTTAAAAAAATACATAAAAAACCTTTTTACATAAATAAAATGAAGTTGTTAATAAAATCAACCAAGTTCTGTTTTTTGTAAAACAATGATCCTTCGAACAATATAATGTTTCCATATATTATCATATAATACTTCTATATTAGATTATATTATATCATATTAAAAAATAAAAATTATCATACCATATATAATTGATTTTGAAAGTCTTAGTTAAAAGTTGTATATTTTTGATTTTATTCTATGATTAAAAATTTTAAAAACTAAATAGTTTTTTTTTCTATTTGAAAATTGTTTCCGAAAAATATTTGTTCCCTTAAAAATATGCAAAAACTTGCTTAAAGTGGACTTACCTTTGCTGAGGACGCTGCTGTTGAAATCGATGGGTCAGAATTCGCTGCTGATGACTTTGGATTGGCAGACGGCGCTGCACGCTGACGTTGGTTGGGTGGCAGTGGTGGGTGGTGCTTCCGTTTCCGGTTCCGCTGCCACCGCTCCGACCATTCCACAGTGGCAGCCTCTGGACCTTTTTCACTTCCGGCGAGAGGCCGTTGATTCGAGTGGCCGCTGCACTCGCGCTCAGCGGTGACGTCATATTGGCCAGGTCACTGGCATCCGTATCCTCCCCATCCTCCTCCACCGCCCCCGCCCCCTGCCCCGCCTCCCTTTGCGCCAAGGGGCGGCTACGTCGCGGGGGGCGTGGCAACGGTTTGGGGGCCACACGTCGTGGTTGTCGTTGTTGCAGCTGATTGGAGGTTGTTAATGTGGTTGCTGCCGATCGGCTTGACTTTAATTTGATGTCGATCAGGCAAGGTGGGTGTGGCAAAATATTATTATTATTATTGCTCTTATTATTGTTATTATTATTGTTACTGATGTTGTTATTCTTATTGTTGTTTATGCTCTGCCAATGATGTGCCTGCAATTGCCTTGATTGCATTTGCTGCTGATTATGGAGATGATGTTGTTGGTTCGTTGGCATTATTGTTGCTGTTGCTAATGCCGCTGTTGCGGTTGCTGTTGCTGCTGTCGTTGTTGTTGTTGATGTTGCAGCATGACTCGGCGCCGAACGGAGATCGTTTAGCATTATGTCCAAATCGCTGGCCAGCGAGCTGAGCAGCTGCAATGATATGGCAAACATTCGGGGTTAACGGAGAGTTCGACAAGCCCCCAAATCAAAATACAACTTAATGGACCCCACAATCGGTTAGCTTAGCCCCAATACAATCGTCCAAATTGAGGATCATTATGGAGCTATTCATTCGGAATCCACTTGATAAACACTAACATGTTTTTCAAAAGGATTAATAGAGAAAATCAGTAAAGGAAAAGCGATCTTGCAGTCTATTAGATCATCGAAATAACAAACCTTAGTTTTTTATTTATTGTCTACATTTATTAATAAACTACACTTCCTTTTTAGCTTTTTATGACCCAACCAGTCGATCGCACCTTTTCCGTTGAGATTATGGTACAAAACCTGTAATGTTTGAAGAAACTCATAAAAACCAACGATTGGTTTGCAAATAATTACAGTCGTTTGTATAGATTTAATTACTGAAGTTTTTTAGCCAAGCTAAATGCAGATTTGTCATTATTCAGGTCCAAGTTAGCACGAATAAATTTACCTATATGTACAAGGTTTTTATAGCCTTTCAGAAGGTAACATATAATAATTTCAGTCAGAAAACTGCAACAATTTTTAACATATTACCCTCTACTCTTAGGAATATTTTTGTAAATATTTCTGAGTGTCGAATACAATTTTTAAAAAATTTGACGACTATATAACAGAGTCTCCATAGGAATATTGAATGAATAAATTATAGCTTCGTTGATTCAATACATTATTCCAGAAATTTGGAATTAAATTAAAAAAAAATGTGACGACTTTTTTTTATGTACATACCTGCCATAGGAAGAATCGAAAAAATATTTTCAAAATAATATAAAAACAGCTACAATTTTGTTTTTTTGTAAATTTAAATTTAATATTTTTTGTAATTTAGTAGTAATAAATACCATTTTGTTTTTATTTAATCTAATCATGATTTTCCATGATCTCTAATAATTATAATTTAAGTTGTATATATTTTTTAAAAACAATTTGCAATATCTACAGATTTAAGAAATAGTCTTGTTTGTTTTTCTTAGTGCAAATATCGGAGGCACTTGGACTTAGCCTTCGGAACTGGGTCCGTGAGGAATTTTCGTAGCACAAACAGTGGGTTTGGCTGGGCTTGGGAACGGGCGCTGCAGGAGGGCGGTGTTTCTGGTGGGGGGGATGGGGGATCGAAAGGCGAAGTTGGGTGCCTGGGTGCCTGAATGCCTTGGTACCTGTCCAACTGGTCTTAACTTCCGGCGGTCTGTGGCGAGGCCGTATTTGTGTGTCGATCTCCAATAATTACGCGCCACTGTCTGGGCTAATGCAATAATAACGGGTTTTCGCCGGTGTCCCGTCGACATGCCCCATGCCCCAGACCCCCCACCACCCCAAAATTGAGCCACCCATGTCTGCATCGGTGCCCATGCCCCATGTGCAACATGGTTAACGTTAACCATGTCCCGAGTGCCAAAAAGCAGCAAGGCAACGTCAACCGAAAAGCAAACCGGCTCCCACGCTCTGTGCTAATTTGATCTCCACTTCTGTTTCTTTTTTTGTTTCGGTATTTATAAATATTTCTATGGTTTTTTTCTTCGATTTTTTTTTCTTTATTATTTTTCTGAGGTTTTTTTTTGTCTTATGGCCCGAAAGGCAGCTGGAAGTTGGCGAGTTGTATGCAAATGCTGGCCAAAGAGTGAAATGGAAAAAATCGGGGAATGAATTGTTGATGTGAACCAAGCCGATGATGTCTGCAAAAGAACTGAAAACTCTGTTGTCTGCCATAGAAGGCCATAAAAGGTGTGTTTCGAAATCATTATGTTTTAAGAAAAGTGTATGCAAGATCCTCAAAATACATCGATCTATCAAGTGGATCTTTTTTTAATTGGAGTTTATACATATAGTATTAGGGATTGTATTTAACAATTTTGAAAAATACTTATTTTAAGGTCCAAATATTTGGCAACCTATACAATTTTGTTTTTTTAGATCTTCCCTAAAATACAAAAAAAATATTATCCTCTTAAATCTATTTAAAACGTTATAAACAAAAGTAAACAAAGTGCTGCTGAAATTAACACTTCTTTTTTTTTAAACCAACACAAAGACTTGTCCCTTTTGTCTTCCTGCTTCTAATCCTCATCGCGTATACGCCCCGTTTGACTCCTCAATTTTCCAGCTGGAAAATAAGCGAAACGAGAAATCAACTTAAACATATGGATTAGCATGTAATATGCCACACTCGCACACAGGCGCACTCCCACACACACCGACGGGGATTGAGACAAAGACATAGACAAGCCAGCCAATTGAGCAATTGCCACAGCCAACAAATTCAAATTGAAAATGTGGGCAAAATAAGCAAAAAAAAATAAAAAAAAAAGGAAATAAAACGAAACTCAACTCAACCGCAGAGTGTCTTGTTTGAAGTACAAACAAAACTTCAATTGGCTGGCGGGGAATTGGGGAATTGACAAGAGAGAACGCTATAGTCGAGTACTTCGACTGTTAGATACCCGTTACTCAGCTGAAGGGAGTGCGAGGGAGATGGAGATATGCAGGCTTCAAAGCTACTGGCTCCATCTAGCGGACATTTCATTTTTAGCTCATAACTTTTTAATGGATTGCCCGATTTTTAAAATTTTCTTCTACATTTCGAAAGGTTCATATAGACATGGTCAAGAATATATACTGTTACATACTTTCCGACGAATACAATATACCCTTTAACTCTACGAGCAACGGGTATAAAAAGTGGGAAAGGGTAGGGAACGGGAAGGCCCATTCAGTCAGTCGGCAATTTCAATTTAGGCATCATAAAAACGAAACGGAGAATCGCAAATTATTCTGTATAATATTGCAAATTAAATTAAACTAGCTGCTCCCAGTGATCAATCTGTTTCAACCCCCTTCACTTACCGCTATGGCATCCATCACCGCATTAACCATTTTCCTTATTTTCGCCGAGATTTGTCTGCTTCTCCTTTTTTGATTCGCCCCAGCTTATTGTTTCTTCGTCCTTATTCTTGTTCTTATGATTTATTTGACAGTCGCGCAAACATTTTGCACAATTTCGTTTGGGTTAAGTATATATACTGGGATATGCTGGTAGTGGATCCCAGTTCCGATTCCAATTCATTTGGCTCCTCGGACTCTTCGGCTGGATCTTCCTGCTCCCCTCCTCTCGGATCTGTTGACATTTAATTAACGACAGGTGGTGGCGGTCGGTACGTGCTCCTCTACCTGTGGGCAGAGAATTTAGAAAGAGTTATGAGTTTTAGTGGGAACTCTGAATGTGGGATCTCTGGAGGAGGCGTTCCAGCCTTGCTGGATATAGGGATGCGTAAGTAGGCGTACGACATTAAGTGCATGATTGACAAGACAACTTAAATATGAGCATTTCTGTGTCTATAGAAATTACACATTTTAATATGGACTATCACTTAAAAATTTACCAATTTAAAGAAAGGATTAGATCTAATAGTAAAAATAAAATTTTTTAATAGTCCAGAAATGAAGACCAAAAAATTTGTTGGGAAAAACCAAATTTTTTAACATTCAAAACTCTAAAAATTTAATACTACCACTAAATTACAAAAAAAAAAAAATTTATAATACTAGCCAAATTGGAAGTAATAAATATTATATAGTCGCCTTAATAATGTTTTATTTACTCTGGTCTACATTGTATCTAAGAATTGTATCCAAAATAGAAACAGAGAAAACCAAGGGCATAAGATAATAAAAGGCCATTTTTTCCTAGATATTTTCAGGGACATCCTTAAATGCACACAGTATGACTCCAGAGAAGTGAAAAACATTACAGCACGAAGACAAAAGCTGTCCACGGACAACATCCACTGGCGAATTAAAAATATTAAAAAAAGACACTACGAGACTGTCTAAAAGTGAATGTGCATATCTGCAAGATACATTCATACGTTTTTAATTAAAACCCGTGCACGAGCGATTGCTCTGCCCCTGTCCAAACATTGGCCCGAAGTTTGTTTGACAATGTCCGAACCTCAACCCGCCGAAACATAAACCGAACCCCCAAAAAAAAAAAACCGAAGCCCCATTGCCCTAACCACGCTAAACAGAAAAAAAAATCGATATGAAATAGGGTTGTTTCTACCTTATTTCATATCAATAATGTCAAATTTATGATTCAAACATAACAACTTGATATTTTATCATATCATATAAAATAACAAATTTAGTATTTCTTTTTAAAGTAATGTTAAATAAGATAAACATAATCTTTATTCATATCAAAATGATATGTCTAACTTGATCTTAATATCAAATTGACCAACATATATCAATCTGATCTTTTGTCAATTTATTCTCTGTGTACGCATTTTATGGGGATTGCGATGGACGGTGATGGTGATAATGGCGGTGTAGATGTTGAAAAAGAAACAGAAACAGAAACCGAAGTTGAAAACCGAAATAAAATAAAAATAAAAATGAAAAACTCGTTTCACGTATTTTTCCACAATTTTCCGCATTTTATGCTCATTAATTACATTTTCATTTCAATTTCAATTTCTGCATTTACATAACCATTTCATTCCATCTGTCCGCTTAACTTGTCCCTCTCGCAGATACTCGTTGTTGGCTTGTTTTTTATGATTGTTTCTCTTTTTTTTGCTGAACTGGCTCAAAAAGCCACGAAATTCCTCGGCCAGTTGACGGAAGTTGAATTGCAAATGAAATTTTTCACCAGCTCAGAGATACCAGATACAAGATACGCGTGTGTATTATATATGCGAGTGTATCTGACGAATATCAACGGCAGTGACCAGAAGTTTTTGACTGCGTCTCAAATGCATTCGTTGTCGAGCAGCCGTGCGACATTTCCCAAATCGAAATCGCTGGCAATCAAACGAGGAGCGTGAAAAAAATACCAGTCAACGGTCCACCTGCCCATCGCCCCTTACTCCACCAGGCACAAACTCATTACAATAGCTTTAAATGCATACAAAATGAGCTTTTTGTCTTGACGCTGTTATTTATTTAGCTTCTTCGCGCCTCCCCACTCAAACTGCATAAATTGCCGATCAGATATATCGATGGGGTAATGGTAAAGTCGGTCTCAAAATGGTAATGTACACAAAATTAGCGGAGTTGCACGGCAGCCATAAGAAGCTATAGAATTGCTTCTGGCGAAAAATGAAATTTAATTCTGAGGAACAAACCTGTGACACATTGTTTCTGTGGAATCATTGGGTTTCTTTTTTAATAAACATCTCATGTTTGTTCCTCTTTGTTTATGATTCTTTAATAAAATGTATAAACATGGAACTGCGACTGGTGCACTGGAATAATCCAAAATCATATAATCTGAGGCAATTAATCAACTTTTATCATTTATAGATCTGACCCGATTATATGCAGCGTTAATCATTAAAGAAATATCATTATATTTATTACAAAAAACTTAAAAACTTACAATTCTAATTTCTTTAAAGAATATTATAATTTTGTAAGACTTATTCCTAACACGTAATATTCACTTTTCTTTCAGCAAGTTAAGTCCCAGTATTATTGCTATACCAAATATCTTGAAGAACCGAACAGGTCTTTGGTTTGTCTTGAGCCCCTTTGTTTACCACACTTTTTAGGAGCTCATTAACCAAATATGATACAAGAGTCGACAGACAGCTTTGCCCAAACATCATGACCAAGAAATATTTGAGGCATGAAATATCAATAACAAAATCAACACGAGACATGGGGCTCAGCTAACGAGGCTGTCGATCGGATCGTTCGGATCGATCTCTTTGGGGTTTATCAATTTCGCTGCTTTGAATATTTCTGTTTCGCCTCGGTTATTTATTAAATTTGTGTTAAGGTTAAATAGCAGCGTGAAATTGAAATGAATTGTTGTGTGTGATATTAAAGCGTTCGCTGTCCGAGATACGGATAAACGAGAGACTCAAACGAACGAACGGCCGGAGATTTCGGCGGGCCTACGTCTAATCTTCTCGGAAGAGTAGAGACTCTCTTTATCGCTCGCTTCTTCTGGCCTTTGTGCATTCGGCTGCCCCGATAAAGCAGCGCTGCTCAAGTGTAAATTGAATGATAAGCCCCATCAGTGGGTTTCGAGAATGAGAATGAGAACGGGAATCAGAATCAGAATCAGAGCCACCAACTTTGCTCTCCGATGATTGCCTTAATGATGTTGACGATGATGGGATGGTTGGATGGATGGCCTTTCAATTTCAATTGGGCCGAAGGTGATTTCGTCGCCAAGGCGAAATCGATCGTATTTCGTAGCCTCTCAATTGATTTCTGGAGTAAGTACTACACAGAAACAAAAAATCGATATGAAATAGGGTCATTTCTAACTTAATTAATGATGAATGTCAAATTTATAATTCAAACATATCAACTTGATGATTTTACCATTTCAAAATTTATATTTCAAACATATCCAAATTTAGTATTTTTGAACCACTATTGTAAAATAAGTTATACAAAATTGTTATTCATATCACATTGACCAAATGATTGAGTGTAACGACCAGAGAAAACATTTTAAGTTTACACTCAGAAAATGAATCGCCCTGAATTGTGAAAATCGCCGATGGATTTGTCACTGGCGATTTTTCTTTAAAATAAAAAATTTTCTACTGGTAAAGAAAATTTTCTTCCAATTAATCAAAATTCATATCAAAATGTCATGAAATATTCCAGAAATATAAAAAAAGCCAGTAAAGCATTTCTTTGCATAGGCGATTTTCTA